TGTGTGTGTGTGTGTGTGTGTGTGTGTGTGTGTGTGTGTGTAAACAATCATTTTCTATACTTATATTATATATATTTCCCACAGAACAACCCATGTCAGCTAATTTCTCCTCTCCTTCGTGTGAAGCTCACATAATTTTCCTTCCATCCCACTCCGTTTGGAGGGGCCATTATCGCTACCCCTTTTAGCACTTTCCGTCTGTCGGACCCGGGCTCTAAAAGACCACGGAGCATTATACATCGTACATGTAGAACCTGGGGTTGTTCAGCTGAAGACTGATTGCCGCTCGAGACAAGGTATAAAAGGCTATAAAACTGAGAGACCGGTGCATCGGGACCTCTCAGCGCTCCACTGAACCGCAAGGTGCACTTTGAGGATGGGTGGTTGGCGGGTGCTCTAGTGTGGTTTGCTCCTTCTTTCCTATCAATCATCTACAGAATTTATAATGGAAAAGTAAAGAAGTAGGACCTACCAGTAGCACCCTTGAACCACCCTCCTCTTTATCATTTTTTTTCGCATGTTACTCTTTCGTGAGAGGGTTCGGTGGCGGAGCGGTTAGTGCGCTCGTCTCCGAAGCGGAAAGTCCGGATTCGAGCCTCGGTTCGGATACGGATTTCTTTCGCCCCCTCCTGCCTACCCAGCAGTAATGGGTACCTGACTTCGAGTTGGGGAAGTAAAGGCGGTGTGGAAAGGAACTGGCCACCCTACCACAGTATGGATTATGAGTCGATCTGGTTGGATTTCTTTTTCAAATATCTAAATGCAACAGTAAAGAGCGTAGACTTACTCCACACGTATCGGTACGATGTGGGTTGTTAGCGTGTGCTATATTATAGTGCGGTTTGCTCCTTCTTTCCTTTCAGACATATGTCTCCATTATATCTCCTCTCCCCTCCTTTTCTTCTTTGTAAGTAAAGTTACTCTATAGTACCACCCCTCATGTCCGCCACTTATATGACCTAATTGTGCTGCAAGTGCAGTAAAACTCTAACTAAAACTAAGCTAAAACTTGAAATAAAATACGTCAATAATTCTTCCGTTCAACACCAAGTTGGTTGCAGTAAGAAAACGCCTTTTGACTCTCTTACTTGGCATCAGTTTGCCACGAGGAAAACGGACGGCGATTATCCAGAGACAAGCGAGGTAAAAAAATTGTTTGTTTGCAAAGCGACACAATAACGGTCACTTAGTGCTGGGGGAAAGTGAGACAGACAGATAGACAGAACTTACAATGGAGAAAAGTAAAGAAGTAGGACCTACCTGAAGCACCCTTCAACTACCCGCGGAATCAAACTGCACAGATCAAAGATAACATTTTGGCTTGATGCCTTTACACAAACTATCTCAATTTACTGCTCCTATTCGATCAAACACATTCAACTACAACTAGTCGAACAAGTGTCAGCCCAAAGTAAGACGATATCCGACTTCGTCGTCGCTTCTTTAGTGCCGGCAGAAAGTAAAAGTATCTTATCTGCTTAAATTGTGATTTTAGGCTACGTGTTTGAATTCCCTTCTAAGCGATTTTCTTATAATTCAAAATAATCCAATCTTGCCAGGTTGCGCAAAATACTTTTAAAACATTTTTGATTTATCACATCGGCTGAAATTGAGTCGTTTTCAAAATTTCAAAAGCAGTTTCTTCAATCTGTGCTTATGCAGATGTGACGATTTTGCATCGCACATTAGACGTTCTTTGTAGGAGAAATAAATGAACCCATTGGAGCACATTAAAAAGCCTGTGCGCGTTGAAAGGACGAGACTGTAAGCTTTTTGATCCAGCGAGTGTTGACGCATACAAAACTTAGAGGCAGTGACAGGTTGTGAATAAGGGTGGGAAACTGGGAGAGAGGGGCAGAGTATACACGGGAGGTAAGAACACATGTTGAGCTCGCTTTCTTAAAGGAACATGTATGTTTGTTTGTCTGCGAGTGTGTAAGTACGTGTGTACATGTGTGGTGCATATGTGTGTATGTGTGTGTGTAAATATGTCGTGTGTGTGTGTGTGTGTGTGTGTGTGTGT